AGATGGAGCCCGGGGCCAAGCCTGTTCACGCTTGTGGGTCTGCCCCCGAGTGAGACCGGGACAAGGGATCACGCCCATGTGTACCCATACGTCACACAAACCCAAAAGGGCCCAGAGGGACTCTTTTCAAAAAGCACAGGGATGATATAAATCTATGAATATAAACTGGGAATACGGGATCAGCAACTATCGACAGCCGGTCACGTTACGTATTCTCCCGACATACCTAAATCTATGGGCTGAACAGGCGGGGGATCGGGCTGATCAAAATACAATAACAAATTCATAATATCTTAGAACTAATGGAGGAATAAAGGATTTACATAGGGGGTTTAACATATGAAATTACAAACTATAAAAACTTTCTTTTATACAATAGGGAGGAATGATCGATCGATCGTATTCAGCACTCTACGGATTCTGAGGAAGAATAAATTATATACAAAGAAGTGTTTAACAAAAGGCAGATTTTGGTGCCACAAAAACAGACGTTAAATTTTCAAAACGGAGGGAACTGAACACGAAAATTTCTGACAAACTGATCACTAAAAAAAAAACACACAGTTGACAAATTTAAACATCTCGGACATCTAATTTTGCAGGTGTTTACCTTAAACCCAATTTGCGAGGGTAAGGGTTTTCTATCAGAATGGTTATCACCTGGGGGGATCAATTCCTCTGCAATGGCTCCAAAGCCTTTACTGAGAAGATCTGAAGGTTCTACAAAATACAGGGAAATCACTAGTGACGTGAAATTTTAACTGGGAAACCTTCTGCTTGGAGTACCCAACTCGGCCTGTTCGATACAGTAACTCTTGGCTCGTTTACAAAGTCACTAATGGTACTGGTGGCTTCACAGTAAGAATAAGATCTTCCGGGAGCAGGAATCGAACCCACACCAGAACACAAGGGATCGGTTCTTTGGGCATTTTTGACATCCTCGACAGCAAATGGAGGATCTGCAGTAACTACACTAAACTTTTGTCGCGATAAAGCATCTGCGACTACATTCGACTTGCCAGGAAAAAAAATTTTTAAAAGTGGGATTGAACTCTTGGATAGTCCAAGGTCCATCTGGCTAACCTTCCAGTAGGCTGTTTGTTCTGGAAAAAAGGGAAACCCAGTTCTTCCTTACTGGAGGAAAGAACAAACTGGGTGGAGTGGATGACTCCCCCCGGTTGAAAAAAAATTAACGCTATAAACACGCAATAGAGCAAGGGAGAACGAATTTTACTATCTCAACTGCAAGCACAGGAAAAAGAAATGAAAAACGGTGAACAATGCTGATATTCAATCTGAGTCGCACACAGTGACACGAGGTATCAGCTATAAAGAAACTACACTTACAAACGTTAACATGTGAAAGTTACTCGAGAAAAAAAACTTCTACAATGCACTGATTACTGTCAACTAGGATGGGATCACCATCTGAAAAAACAAGGAACAACCAACAGACACTCTAGTGAGAACACTTGCTGTAACAGAGACGTCTTTCTGCAGACAGCATTCCCCATCAACAAGAGATGCAAATTTCTAGTTGCAAATAATCGTTTTCTGACAAGGCACCCCTGTGGCGAAACTACTACTCGAACTAGCAGTCCCTTGCAGGATAGGCTGTGCACTCAGGGAGTCTGAGTGTCCCCCCGGGCACTTGAGGGAAAGGAACACCCATCCTGCAAGTCTGGAAGGTATAGGTGAACACAGATGGGAATGACAGAATATACTAGTGCCTGACCGCTCGGCTACGTTAATAAGTAATTCCACGGATCTATAAGAACTTAATCTGAACTTCACATTTCGCAGCACTTTAACAAATCTCAGATACAAACTGTGAGAACAAACACATTGCTCAAGGGCTAGGTATTGTCTTTCAGTCAGTAAGGGAATGTTGGTACTGTGGACCCGATTCATATTGACTTTGACTGGAATGATACACTAAGTGAACGTTCAAAAGTGACTGGACATCTTCTCAGTGAAAATACTGAGGGGCATAAGTCAAGAAAAATGGAGAAATGACACAATTTAAGCTTAAAAGGAAGAAAATTGCTAACTATTCTGCATAAGTAATTAAAAATTGACAATTTTACACAGTAAGCAAAAAAACTCACACAAGAATAATATGCAACTTAACAAACACTGAAAATCAAGAGAACTTGTACTTTTCTCAAATCTAATATGCTCAACTTTTACTTTAAATTGAATAAATGGCACAGTGAGTTGTCTTTACTTTCAATGCAACAAGGAAAATACACAATAAAATAATAAAATTTGGGCTCAATAACTTGTGCAAAAATGAAACAAACACACAATTCACTGAAATAAAAAATAAAATGACAGACAAAAAATAAAATACTATGCACAGAACAGAGCCCTAAGAAACTGCACTGTAATAAACTGTATTGCACAACACTGAATAAAATTTCTGCAAGAAAAAATTTAATAGCAACAACAATTTTTTGCACAAGAATTATTGCAAAATGAGTCAATGTGCAATAATAAAAATTATAACACACAAGAAAAGAAATATATCAAGGAATGAAAAACTTTAACTCTTACTGCACTTAAACAACAAACAAAAGAACAATTTACTTTAAAAGGAGAAAATTAAAAAAATTGCACTAAGAGTGAATTTGTTCAATAAAATATGAAAAATAATAGGTGCTAAAAAACACAACAAAAAGAAATACAACACTTACAGTGATGCAGAGCACAAAACATCAACAAAACTCAGTACTAGAATTTTCTTGCAATGAAACTTGATGTTTTTTAAAAAAATTTTGTAAACAGATTTCTTGCTGAGCTTTTAAAAATGGCACTATTGTCTGTGGAAATAAGACAAATTAAACACTGGCTGAAATAAAAGGGAAAAGAACACAAGAATGTTCAACACACAGGGAACAAACAAAAATACACAATTGCTAGGAAGAAAAAAAAAATAACAGACAACACTGAGTTGTGATGCAGAAATATGAGGTGAAAAATTTACTGAGTTAATTCAGGAATTCTGAAGTTTAAACACAATTCCCTATACTGTTTCATAGTTGCACACACAAAAAAAGGAAACACTAAGTAATTTACTTCAAGTGTAAAAAAAAGATAAAACAACACAACAGATAAAAAATAATGCACGAAAAAAAAACCACTAAAATTAAGGAAAATTAAAAAAAAAATTTATGCAATCAGTACATGATAAACCCGGACTGATAAAGAGTCACTGAATTAAACTAAGGGGAAAAATTTCCCAGGGGGAAACACAAAAAAAATGTCCCCCCAACATTTCGAAAATGCCCTCTAAAAAAAAATATTATGCTGTAAAATTTTAAAAAAAAGAGATTAAATTGGATTGTTTTTTATCGTCTTGCTGCTGTCCCCCTGCAACAATGAAACGTAGAATTTTCGCTTAAATCGGCGAAGACAACACATAGGAGGCTTTTAAAATGGGGGCGCCACACTCCCAAAACTTTTTGACCCCCTATGTGTCCCCTTTAAAAAAGGGGCTAAAAACCCTTTTGCAGTGCACCAAAAAACTGAGGGGGAGGTGAGTTGTAATGGGCCCACTGTAATTTTGGTTTTTGGGTAATGGCAGAGCGAAAGGGGTCCCGAGACCGGGAATGGTCGACACACGTATCGTGAGTGCTGGGGTTATGGGGTTTAACCCTCGTTAAAACCCCACTGAGAAAACCCACAAAACCCCCCAAGATAAAACCCAACCGGGTGGCTTAGGAGAAAACCCCCACGAAATACACAACACCACAAGGAAAAAGGAGCACTCAAATGCTTGGGGAAATTGAATCCAAGCATGAAAACCCATCACGTGGGTTGCCGAGTACTTTGGGGGAAACAAATTGGGTTTGTTTCTACTGGTTATCTTAAACCCCTTTACACAAAAAGCTTGATAACTTCCCAAAGATGAGCCCCCCAGGGGTGGAACTGGCTTGGGAGGGAAAAAAAATTTTGGGTGGAGTAGGCTTTGGGTACTGGACTGGGTTTTTCTGACCCCCCAAACCCCAGACGGGAAACTGGCCCTTTTTTGCAAACCCCCGGGTCAACCCCTCGGGAGTAATGCCCAAAAAAACAGGGAAAAAAAAACTAATACAAAGAGACCGACCATTTAATAATGTAGAAGCTGGTAGAGTAGCTGGCTTGAGGTAGCTGGATGGGGTGAACCTCGGTAGGCCTACTGGTAACACGAAATGGCCGTCTTGCTGGTCGACAACTTTATCTCCAGAAATCGCTGTAATCGTCAGAATTACAGGCTCACCGCTGTCACCATTTATCGTAAGGGTTCTTAAATGGAGATATCGTAGGTTGAAAGTAGACACACTTGTTGGATGGTAAATATATTGTCAGACTGAGATGAGAGATGGAGCCCGGTGCCAAGCCTGTTCACGTCTTGTAGGTCTGCCGCCGAGTGAGACCGGGACAGAGGGATCACTGCCCATGTGTATCCCTATGACGTCACACAAAGCCAAAGGCCTACGAGGGATCTCGTGTCTAAAGCACAGGGATGATACTAATATGCTATGCTATATAATACTGGGAATACAGGGATCAGCAACTATGCTGACAAATTACCAATAGGCCCTTGGCTGCCTTCAAGAGGGAGCTGGACAGATACCTTAAGTTAGTGCCGGATCAGCCGGGCTGTGGTTCGTACGTTCTACTACGTGCGGCCAGCAGTAACAGCCTGGTTGATCAGGCCCTGATCCACCGGGAGGCCTGGTCGTGGACCGGGCCGCGGGGGTGTTGATCCCCGGAATAATCTCCAGGTAGACTCCAGGTACACATGCAAGTCAATTTTATATAAACGGATAAGGCGTTCTAAATTTGTAAACGAAACCCTTGAGAAAAAAAAAAAAAAATTCAGGAAACCACTTAAAAGGTAGCTCACCCATTCAGGGATACATAATAAACTGCATAAACAATTACTAGAGTAAGAAAAGAAGAGTAATAAAATAATAAATCAGAAGAGGAGGAGGAAGGTTGGGCATGTGACTTACCTGGGAGGGGTCGGTGTCCGGTGATGGCAGGTTCACAGGTGACGGGGTGTAGCCAGGTGGTCACTCGAGCCTCCTCACTGCAACACACAAACATACCCACCGTCTCAGTAAACAATTTCGACGGGGAGGAGGCGTGTGGGCGGCCGGGGTGTTGGGGGATCAGGGATGAAGGGGGAAGTCAAATACTGTGGAAGAGGGCTAGGGGGGATGTAGTGTTGTAGCTAATACCCAGAGGGGGAGAAGGGGGTGATGGGCGATGAGTAGGGCGTACTTGGTAAGCTAGGGGGGGCTAGGGGGATGTAGTGTTGTAGCTAATACCCAGAGGGGGAGAAGGGGGTGATGGGCGATGAGTAGGGCGTACTTGGTAAGCTGTGACCAGAAATGGTGTGGTAGATGGTGGGTAGAAAGTGTGTGGTAGGTGGTGGGATGAAAGGGTGTGATAGGTTGTGGGTAGAACGAGTGTGGTAAGTGGTGGATAGAACCTAGGGCTCTGGTGGCCTGGTGGTTAACTCTCGCTTCACACGGCGAGGGCCTGAGCTCGATTCCCAGCCAGAGTAGAAACACCTGTTGACTATGTTCCTTATCAGTAAAATGGGTACATGGGTATTGGTCGAGGGTGTGGGTCGCCCTGGGCACTGCCCCTTATTTCCCGAAATGCTGAGTAAAAAGGGGCTTTCTATACAGTATTATTTCATGATGTCCCTGGGCCTGTATACCTTGTACATGACTGTAGTAAATATTTATTTTTACATTATTATAACGATGTGGTAGGTAGTGGCGGGAAAAGGGTATGGTGGGGGTGGGTAGAGAGGGGGGTGGGGAAGGTATTGGGCCCATGATAAGTTTGGTTTAAAAGGGGCAAGAAATTTTGGGTTGGACAGCTGTCAAATGCCTTGATTTAGTAAAGGGAGTGGGGAGCAAAGGTTTTCACTAAGTATTTGACTGAGTTCCGGGTTACTATTCTTCCGATGCATACTAAAAAATGGTTTTTTACTTGACATTTTATACCTTGGCTTTTTTTCCACCGTTATAAAAATTAATTTGTGATGAATGGTTTAAAAACCGACAAGTTGAAGACTGAGACCTTATGCAACAATGGGAATCTTTTTTCAGGAAACGTTTCGCCTTTACACGGCTTTATCGTCCAGTACTAATAGATGGTAAAAGGAGGAGTTTGAGTAATCATCCCCCAGCCTGGGAAACGATGTGTTCTCCATAGTCTTTTAGAATTACAGCATGGGCCGTAGCGGGCTATACTCTAGTCAGGGGGAAGCAAAGCGAGGCGGGGTATAGTGGGACCACCATTCGAAGTAGTGTAGGACGATGGTTTCGCCACACAGTGGCTTCTCACAACTGTCGACACTGCCCGCATATGGGACTTGTTACAAAAAATTCTTCAACATTTCCAACCTTTTGGAAAAGACCTACTTCGATTAGTGGATGGTCCCCTATGACCCTGCCTCCTCCCTGCTTTGCCTCACCTGAACAGTAATTTGCCAGTCTACGGCCTATGCTGTACATTCTACCAAGACTGATGAACTGAACACATCGACTCCCGGGCTGAGGGGGGTTACCTCAAATACTCTCCCTTACACCTTTCTATTTGTACGGACTGATGAGCCACTGTGTGGCGAAAAGTTTCCCGAAAAATATTCCCATATTTTGCAAAGTTTAACTTAAAATTAAATTTGAAATTTTAAATTCATTTATCTTTTTTATTGTGTGTGCCGTCTTTGGGGGGGGGGAAGGGTTCAATAAATTTTCAATTCAATTTACGGTTTAAAAACCTTTAGTGCAGATCCCGACAAGTTTTTTTTTTTAAGACTGTGAGCAAACACTAAGACAGGTGATCATGGTCCCAGGACCAAAAAAATCTAAAAAATAGTCTATGTGTTTTAAATTTTTTTTGAACCAGGTTTATTACACCTTTTTTAAAAAAAAAAAAAACATTTTGCCCCCACATTCATTTTTTTAAAAAATTGAATTAACCAAACTTTAATCGAAAATTTTACCAGCTAAAAAAAATCATGCACAAAAAGAAACAATTACATAGGATTTTAACATGGGAAAGGTGTATATATTCGCACATATACACTGAGAGGGGTGTTATATGTTGAGAGACTTTTTTTCCCTGTTTAAGATTATTTTGTCTAATGGTGTAAAGGTTACTACTTTATAAAGCTCCCGTGGGGGCGAAACGTTGTCGTAAGGGTTCAAGGTTCGCTTTATCCTGTATTTGGTGGGAATTTTATCCCATTTCTCTCCATCATGGTCAATCTTATTGGGAAATTTTTTTTTTTGGCTGGTTCCCTGCGTAGATCCCATTTCTTACTGAAAACTGAAAAAATGAAGTACTGATTTTCTTTGAAATTTTCCAGTACCTATCTGACTAGCTTACCTTTTCCCAAAGTGTAATAATGCAATTTTGGGGGGCCTTCAAGTTTGTTTTTGGGGAAATTTTCCAAATACACCATTTTTTATAAAAAAAATGCATATTAGTTCTGTAGATGACTTGTGATGTCTTTTCTTTCCCCTTCTTTATCTTTTTAGCCCACTTCGCCTTTTTCTCACGTGTGCATGGATGATCTGGGACTGAGGTTAGGAATTATGGATATTTCACGGGATCGAACGCGCACAAATGAATCGGGTTTCCCTTTATTTGGCCCCCACCGGCTTGCCACAAAACAGGTTTTAAAATTTATGAAAATGGAGGATTTTATCTCATTCATTTGTAATATAACCCCAAAACCCCATGAACAAACTAAAATCGCTAAGCCTCTTTCCCGTCATTAAAGTGTCTGCAAATTATTACTTAACCCTTTGGGGTTTTGGGTCGTACAGTACGCTTACGCGTGGGGTTTTTGGGGACTGTCCCAAAAATTTCTAGGGGCCTCAATCTGCGGGAAAAAAGGGTGTAAGCCTAGATGTGAGAGAAGGGGTCTGTGTGGTGGGTGTGCGCAGTGGGAAAAAAATCTGGGACCCAGTGGTGCATTGGGGAATGCCTTAGTACACAATTTCCACCGTGCCCTGGGGTAAGAAGTTCCTCCTCCTCGGCGAATTGGCCTTTTGTTCCCTGACATTTTAATACAGAGGGAAAGTGACAGTGAAGATGAGTTTAAAGGTTCTGGTGAGGTTTTACCCAAACTAATGACCATAATATGGGGAATAGTGAGGAAAACCCGACAACCCCCCCCCCCGCCTTCCCCCTCTGGTGCTGGGCCTCGTTCGTTGTACCCAAAACAAAGAGGAAATCCCATTTTTTCCCAAAAACCCCGACTCAGATGTGAGCATTGGTGGATAAAAGAAAATGATTTGAAAATAAAGCTTTCCAAAAATTGTTCCCAAAAATGGGGGAGGGGGGGAGGGAGAGGGGAGGAGGCAAGAGGGGAGGAGCAGAGGAGGAGGAGGAGGGGGGGGAGGGGAAGGAGGAGGGGGAGGGAAAAGGGGAAGGGGGAGGGGAGGAGGAGGAGGGGGAGGAGGAGGAGGAGGAAAGAGGAGGAGGAGGGAAAAAGAAGAATACGTAATGATAACAATAATACATAAAAATAATACATAATAATAATAATCATAATAATAAAAATACATAAAAAAATAATACATATATAATATAATAAAAATTATGTAATAAAATGTTCACCCTGACAGTAACAAGATAAGGGAGTAACATCTGAAAGTGTGGCGTTTATGAGGGGAAATGAGGGTAGGTGATCCAAAAAATGAGTGAACTCTCCCCCCCTTGATTTTGTGGGGTACTAAAATTTCGTCTGTCATTTGCCCGCTGTCAAGTCCCTGTCTTTCCATCAGCTTCTGTCCAGAGAGCCACAAGACTGGTCATCCTTTTACTCCCTCTTTAAGAAGTATAGCACTTTGTCTGGGTTTCTTGGGTTACCTAGGGAATTTTACTAGTATACTTGTATTATCGTACCCGTTTAGCGAGATAGACAGACGATAGAAGAGGGAGAAAGATAATTTGTAAAGGAGGAGGGAAGCAGCATCCCCCCCTTTGTTTTGACAGGCCGGGGGGGGGGGAAGAGTAAGAGCCAAATGTCACTTTGACCTGCTGCTCCCTTTTAATTTTCACTATGGACTGGAGGAGGAGGAAGAGAGGGGAAGAGGAAAAAGAGGAGGGGGAGAAGAGTAAGGAAGAGGAATAAAAGGGGAAAAGGAGGAGGGAAGAGGAATAGTAGAGGAGTTAGGGGGAAGAGGAGGAAGAGGAAGAAGAGGGGAGAGGAAGGTTTGGAGGAAGAGGAAAAAAAGAGGAGGAGGAGGAAAGAGGAAGAGGAAAAAGGGAGGGGAGGAAGAGGAGGAGGAGGAAGAGGGAAAAGTAGGGGGAAGAGGAAGAGGGGAAGAGTGGGGGAAGAGGAGGAAAAAGGAAAAAGAGGAGGAGGAGGGGGGAACAATAACTGGTACTGGGACCTAAAAATTTTTGTCTGTCATTTTTCTGTCTGTCAAGTCCCCTTTTTTATCTGCTATCCCTCTAGCTCTCTTTCAGAAGCCACAAGACTTGTCATCATTTTATCACATCTTCAAGCGATATAGCACTTTGCTGGGGGTTTTTTGGGGTTTTCCCAGGTTTTTCTAGTATTTTTGTATTTATGTGTACCCGTGAGACAGAAAATAGACAACAGATGAAAAAAAGAGAAAGATTTAAAAAAGATAGAAAAGGGAGAAAATAAAACACCATTGTTATGAACCCTGTTTAGAGTTCCACAACTGCAGAACAAAAAGGAATATGTTCAGTGCTGTATATTGGTAAAATTTAATAGAACATTTAAAAATAAACAATGTTTTTTATTTTTTGTTTTTGTAAAAAAGTTTTTTAAAAAATTATTGATAATTATGTTTGTGTGCTTATTTGTTGTATAAACGTGTAAATTTTAATTGCACCTTTTCTTTGGTTCATAGGCCCAAAGTTATTGAAAAAATAAAAAGTGAAAAAAAACAAAACCTTCAAATACAAATAAAATTTAAAGTTTCCGGTGAGCGGCAGTCGGGTTGCCATAGCGGCTCATTTTTTGCAAAATTCATGCATCCTATTCCCCTAAGTTTGATGGGAAAATTTTTTTGTTTATCCATA